GGTCTAATTCTAGGTTTTTCTTAGTCCATTGTGGCTTGCTTTCTTGATCTCTTTATCTCTTTAAATGCTGTAAGTCCGTCTTGAATATAAAAGCCCTGTAGTAGACTTTAATGCTTCATAGGATTATATTCCTTCTACTGCTGTTGGTCCCCCCGCCCCCCAGGGGACTCTTAGCTCTTCTTCCTGTTACTTTTCATGTGTACTTTAGAATCAGCCTATCTTTTATAGAAAAAAATTAAAACCAAAATATTTTTTTGGTATTTAAATTGGATTGCCTTATATTTTTATCTTACAATTTAGAGAACTGATATTTTTTATGATACTGTAGTCATTAGCATAGAGTATTTTTCCACTTGTTAAATTTACTTTTTAGACTGTCTTAACATTATATACTGAAAGAATATATTTTTCTTGTCAGTATTAGATTTAGACATTATTGTATATGGACTTTTCCTATTATATCTTCTAGTGGGTGTATTTCAGGTTTATATATAAAGGCAATTGATTATTATTTTTAAAGCTGTGATGATAGCAATACCACATGTGAAAAAATAGTTGAGATTTTTTTTCATTCATTTTAAATCTTTAAGAAGTTCATTTTGTATTACCAGATATTTTTCCTTAAAGAAATAATCAGGTACCTGGAAACATGTTGATCCTTTTGGTCTAGCCTTTAAACTTTGTTGGTGGGATCAAAGCTAGATTTATTCTACGGTTCTATGGTTAAATTATTCCTTTCCCTCTATTTCGACAAGACAATTCTAGTATTTTAATCAATGTCCACTGGTTTATGAGGTTTTCCCCCTGGCTTTTAGATACAGGCATTTTTAATGCGAAGTGACCATGGCAACAGAGAGGGGAGACTTATTCATGAACTCAACAACATGGATTACTGTACTCCTCAACAAGGTTGATTGGTTTAGTGAACTGCTAAATGCCCATCCTATGTACAGTGGAGACTAGCAATGCTGAAATAATTCTATTTTGCAGTGGGGAAGCTGTTCTTGTAACTGTTATCAGGTTGATTATATTGGATCAGGCACTGTTTCCTCTAGTTTTTCCAGGGTTTAATATTTTCCCTAGCCTTGATTATTTGTCATATGTATTCCTTTACTAGTACTCAACTGAATATTTAAGTGGGACTCTCTCAGATCCCTAGGCAAGATTCTGGGTAACTCTCTTATTTTTGCTCTGCCTTCCCAGTTCTTTGTTTCTTGGATGTCTTGGGCTCCCAACTTTGTCTTCACAACTTTGGAAATTCAGGAAACTCTACCTGTGTGTTGGCCATATTTTCTCTACGTTGTAGGATGGAGCAGTAGTAGAACTTTAGGTTTCCTGTCTCTCTAGAATGACCATTTTTCACTGCCTGATGCTTTGTGTGCTATTATTTCATAAATTTTGTCTGTAAAAATAAAATTGCATAATTATTGATGACACATTTTGCATAGATACAATAATTTATTATTTAATTTAGATACATAAATTGTTATTCTCTGCCAATTTTGAAAGATTCATCTACATATCCCTTCCTCTGATTAATTTATTACTAATCCTTTAATCTTGTAATATTTAATTCCATGACCATATGGCAAAATTATTAGCCACTGTCCATATATATATACTATATATCTATCTGGCCCTTTATATATTCATACTAAGTGACAACAAAATTTATTGCTTGAAATTTTTCTGGTAGAGCTCATATGTAGAATCTATCAAAAACTATTACAACTGCTCTGGCCAGAGTGTTTCTGCTGATTGAGCAACTTCCCATGCACCAAGAGGTCGCTGGTCTGATTCCCGTTTGGGGCACATGCCTGGGCTACAGGTTTCATCCCTAGTAGGGGGAGTGCAGGAGGCAGCCAATTGATGGTTTTCTCTCATTGACTTTTCTCTCTAAAATCAATAAAAACATATTTTTTAAAAAGAACCAGTATATTCGATAAAAACACAAATAACTCCATTTTTAAAATGGACAAAGGACCTGATTACACTTTTCTTCAAGGAACATAAAAATGGCCAATAAGCACATGAAAAGATGCTCAATATCATTAGCCGTGAGGGTTGCAAATCAAAACCACAAGATACCACTTCACAGCCACTAGAACAGCTATCACCAAGACAAAACATTTGTTGATAAGGATGTGAGGAAAACCTCACACATGGCTGGTGGGAATGTAAAATGGTGCAGCCATTGGGGGAAACAGTCTGGCAGTTGACTTTGGTTCCTGACAGAGTTCCTAAATCATTTGTAATTTCCTGGGTGACAGGAGTGTCTTTCGTTGAGGTAACTGTGGGTGGACTCCTGGCTGAGGGCTAGTTACCAGAAAGACCAAGTCATGATTAGAAGCTTTGAGCTCTGGTTGGGTAGCTCAGTTGGTAAGAGCATCATTCCGATAGGCCGATGTTGTGGGTTCGATCCTGGTCAGGGCACATACAAGAGACGACCAATGAAAGCATAAAAAAGTAAAACAACAAATTGATGTTTCTCTCTAAAAACAAAAAGCAGCTTCGAATTTCCTAGCACCCCAAGCCCCCATCTTCCAGAGGGGAGAGGAGCTAGAAATAGGGTTAATGATTGACCATTCGTGCCTATGTGAGAAAGCCTCCAAATGTATGGGGTCTGGAGAGCTTCATTCAGGTTGGTGAACTTGGGGAGGTGTCGGGAGAATGGCGCCTCAAGTGGGCATGGAAGCT